CCTATTCTAAAGGAGGGAAGGAGCACATTAATGTAATCCAGGTACCAGGAATTCAAACCTCTAATGATTTTCTTAGTGCTTGACTTTAAAACCTTAATGTTCTTTAACCTTAGAAAATGCCTATAAAATGCTAAATTAAACTAGAGACAGGACACCTTTACTTATAGAGCTTATCTGGAGAATGAGACCTAGCAGACAGGTCTTTGCTGCTTCTACAACTGTTAGTAGATTGTCAGGATTTTGCTTTGGCTATTCAGAGTTCAGTGCAGAAATATTGAAAAAGCATGCTGAAAATGGTCATTTATTGCACTTCCATGCAAAGAGTCATGTGAATGCACTACATTTTTAGATTACCAGAATTTGTGATTTTTTTTTGATGTCATTTAAGTGATTCTCCATTCAAGTGATTAAATGCCTTAACACCGAAAAACTTTATTTTATAACTTTTCATTGAAATTGAGTTAATTTACACTAAAAAAATACAGCCTGGGAAAATTCACAGTAAAAATGTAGTAGTTAGGAATTACTGAAATTAGATATTTTGATTAGACATTTCTGACTGTTTTTGATTAGACATTTTTGTTAAATTTCGCTTTTTGTTTTACTACAACATGTGATAAAGACATGAAATTTTGAAAAATGGCATTCCTACTTCCTTCTCACATTGAACACTAGGGGCTTGTCCTCATTAATTTTACCAGGTAAAAAGCTTTGTCCAGAATTTAGAATTAAAATTTGCCACACATAAACCTTGTGACTTTTTTATTACTGCATACCAGCCCCAAATCTATGTTTAAAACACTGACTGCTCAAAGGAATCTAATTCTCCTCAGCTGATGGCAATAAAAACAGGTCACGAATTCACTACTCAATAACCCACCATTAGCATATCTGCTTAGAGAAAACAGTCTGCTTTTAAAGAAAGCAAATTTGGGCCACAAAACATAAGTTTGTGAAGTATAATGATTTGCATGTGTATTAGGCAAGGAGTTTTTATTTCCTGGGACAGTGACTGCTTTGAATCTGCACCACGAATTTCTAAAACAAGATATTTCTGCATATGCAGAGTTGGGGCTGTGTGTCCATGCACAGAACTCGTGCTCCCTTTTGCCTAGTCAGCCTGGCCACTATTAGCATGTCACCACAACAGCAGAAAGAAACAACCTGAAGTTCTATCCCATTTTCAAGCAATCTTTTCCAGTCTTGATGAGCTGTATGTTGCCAGACCCAGCAAACCAAACTGGCCACAGCTGCTGGTGACACATCTTCACAAGCTTGGGTCATGACTAACCATAAGCATCCAACCAGGCACTGCTGCAGAACTAGACAACAGGATTATCATTTGAGTTCACTGCAGAACTGAGTTATTGCAGGGGTTCTAAGGACACCTCTAATGAATTTCTCTGGTCAGAATTTTATAAACACTGAGCTTCTTTAAGATATCTAAACTATGTAAGTCATTATATAGCACCCAAAAGTAATCATCAGCTAGTGTAGATCCATTCCTTTGAGATGTATCATGATGCTGTTGAAGAAATAAATTAGTTTATAGTGATCATAATAAGAGAGAACAAGTTTTGCTTTCAGCTGTCATTTTGGCAACAAATTTATTTCTTGTTTGGATCTCTTCTCACCTGCCATTACTGTAGAAATGGACCTTGGAGCCCAGAGGTGGCAAACACCATCACAACCCACTCTAAGACGAGGGGTTCTCCTTAATGCACAGACACATTCTGTGCTTCACTGCAGAAGAAAGTACCATCCCCTTCCCTTATCTCCGCTCCCAGGTTGGCAAAAAGACAACTGAATCGCAGATGAAATGAAAATCAGACTCTCTACCGTTCACTGGATGCACAAGGACACAAGGTGGCAGAGCAGTGAAGCAGCACCATGCACTGATGCAGCAAACAAGCCAACTTGCCTGTGTTTGTCAAGGGCACCTCATCCACACAGGAGTCAGCCATAATTCAACCTTGTAAATTCCTGGCAAAAATCAGCTTCCAGATCCTCACAGATGATTCCCATCAGCATAGTGACTGGAGGTTTGTGAACACTAGCAGAATAGCACCATTTCTCACAGAATTTGACCCTATATTTATCCATCTTGCAGCGAAACTGTCATCTTTGAAAAATACAGTACCAGATGACATTATGTAAGGGTCCCTCTATTTTCCAAATATTGCAAGCTTGCAATCATGCCCATCTCCCTTCTATTTCCTAGAATGGACAGCCCTCTTTCTCAGCCAAGCCAGGACTTTTCTAGCCTGGCAAAAAGATGTTGGTCTCACTGCAAAGCCAGCCCATTAGGAGAATGGTGAAGCTCTAATAAGTTTACACAGAAAAGGCAATGTAAATCAAAAAGAGAATGGCAGACACCTAAATACTTGCAGCAGATCTAGTAGCCCAAGTCTGTCGGCTAGTTTATGCACTGTTTACTCAAAACAGGAAATCACTTAGGTTAATTATTTAAATACCCCCATTTATGTAATTCAGAAAAGGAAAAAGCCACTAGTGAAATACTCAAGATGATTATATTTTTAATAAACAATAGATTTAAAGGAGATTAGCTAGGTTATCAGAAAGTATCCTCCCAAATCAGCTCATTAATTGCACTGCCTCTCCCAATTCCACTTTATTAAAGCAATTTAAATGAAGGTTCATTAGGTGCAATGTAATCTAATTCACACACTCCAAGCCTAATCCCTTTTCTTTTAGCAGGAGCATGATAGTTTGCAAAGGATACTAAAGGATCACTGCTGTAGCTTTTTAAAACAGCGACCTTTTTCAGCCAGTATGTCCCACTGTTTTCCCCAGCTTTATTTCTTGTTCTTCAGTGTTACTTGTCCATTCATGTATTCCTACCCTTTTCTGTCTTTCATTGCTCCACACAAATCAGGCCACACATGGGCACTGGTCTCCCTCCATGTACATGCAGGGGACAGGTCAAATCCTTGGTTTCTCCTCCCCACTCAGCTCACGTGGGTGCAGGACTTCACTACAACGAAGGGCTGAGGACAGACTTGATAAATTTAACTTCATAATTTCCCATCCAACCTCCTGCCCTTGCAGCCCTGAGTCCTGGTTTGCTGTCAGCTGAACTCCTGCTGTGGACATGGATCCTTGCACAGTTCAGCATACTCCCTCTGGAAAGGATTGATCCTTTGCAACTTACGTCTAGATTTTGGAATTTAAAAAAAAAAAAAGTAAATTCACAGTGATTTTATAAATATCCTGTGGGGAAAGCAGAAGATTCTTGTGCGCTTTCACACTGCTAATTTCTGACAGCTCTGAAATACGCACTGGGAGGGAACACACGGAGTACTTGCACTTTAAGAGGCACACACTGTGCATTACCACACTAGATTGAGGCTGAAAATGTAGATTAGCAGATCCATGTTATGGACAAACAATGCATTATAGGGCTTATTTTGAAATGAACTCATCTTATACTTTTAGAAAGCCATTTTCAAACATTACAATAGGGTTTTTTACTCTTTCTGGGGGAAAAAAAAAACAAACAAACAGAACAGACAGCAATGAGAGCTGACACCCGGGTTCCTACAGACTTTAGCAGGTTTCCATATCCCTGAAAACCTGTCCTCTCTCACTTCAAATCCTGGGCTTTTCAAGCAAGTGCCATTTTATAATCCTATTAAAACCTTTGCCTGTGTTTACCAAGAGCCCTAATCATATTCAGCAAGTTCTGCTGGTCTAAGGAAGAGCGACAGCTTTCAGCCTTCTTAGGAGGCTTATTCATCAGCCACGCCAGACTCTCGCCAGAGCGTTCAATCTATTCTGGGAGCAGCCATGTGGAAAAAGGTTCCAACAGCTCAAAGCCCCACACAATGATAAAGGAAAGCTCGCACAATCCGGGTAATAGCCTGACCCTCTTAAGGAAAATTGGATGATTTGTGGTAGCAGTTTTTCTGTCCCCGATGTGATTTCTGAATCTCCAAGTATAAGCGGCATAGTTGTGCAGCCCCATTTAAAACCATATCCCTCCTGGGATGTTGAAATAAATAAATAAATAATAAAAAACCAGAACTGTACACAAAAACAAAGTCCTGCCCCACAGCAACCTTCTTCAGCCTACTGGTGTGAAGGAGTTTGTAGCCATTTTAGAAAGAAGAGACACATAAGGGATGGACTAATTTGATGTTCAGTGTTTCAGCAAGAGCACAGTATATGCTTTAATGAGCACACCACACACACCAGGGATGTGTTACTGTGAGACAGGAAATAAAGAGTAAAAAATAATTAAACAGCCACCTTTATAATGAGATAACTGTGTTCATGCAACATTAAGTGGCCTAATTTCCAAGTGCTAAGCAATGGCAGGTTCCTTGGACAAACAGCACCTTGAAAATAAGTGCAATGGATCACAAGCTGTAGAGAAAGGTCACGCTAAGCTTAGTTCTGCCAGACATCTGCCATCCTTCCTCAAAACTTCTTCTTTGCAACTTCTCTAATGTCACTCTCGTGAGCTTTTGGGGCCAGCAGAATACATACTTGTACCCTTTATTTCTTATTCTTTAGAGATGATCCTTAAGAGTTTTGAAATACTATAGCATTCATCATGTGTAGTGTGCAAAATATTACAACTGACAACAACTACCTGGTTTTCCATTGGTGCTGCATCCACTGGGTCCACAAGCACTCACAACACTGAGCACCATAAGCAAATGAAGTACTATTAGCATGGATCTGTTTACATCATTAGAACTAATGAAAAAGGAGTTTCCTCTGCCTCATTAGTTCAAACACTCAGAGAATGAACCCTATGCATATTTCTGCCCCTATTTCCATATTTCTTACTTTCAACAGTTCTCTCAAAGCCGGTAAGAGCAGGAATATTCATTTACTGGGATTGTTAATTCCAGATAGCACTGCGGCATCAATCATGTAAGTGTAATAACCCATCAGACAACATTTCGGTTGGGCCACAGACTCCCCATCTTTCTCTGCAAATGGACATTACACAAAGTCTCTTTGTTACTCACCCTCATGCCCAATTCAATATTTTCTCCTCCATAGACCTCCATACCAGGATCAAGCAAGCCGATCTCACCAAAGTATTCTCGGTCCACCACAAATGAGCATCCAATCATGGCTGGTGTTCTACAACAGAAAGAGCAGAAAAGAAAAGTGAAGGCATTTACTAGGCACCACAGACTCCCCAAAAAACAAAAGTTCTGTCAGAAATGAGGAGTTTCCTCCCATTTCAGCGGGAACTCAGTAGACCAGTCTGGAAAATCATGAAAATTGTAGCCTATAAAATCATTTCAAATACTGAGTGCTTTTGGAGGTGACCTAGAAGAACGGGCTATGTTCCCTCTTCCACTGAAAGGGAGACAATTCTGGACCATCTGGCTACAACATAATTTTCAACAGTGCTAACTGTAAAAAGACTTTAGGAAGGTTTTGGTGTTTGCCAGTTTCCTATTTTCTACTAGAAGAGAGAATGTTCTACCTATAGCCCGAGTTTATAAACATACAACCAAAAACAATGGTGTAAAGAAACAAAGATGATGGAAAAATCTCTAAAACATATTTTTAATAGGCTCCTTTGTAAAGGACTTGCATTATACCATCACTATGAATTCTCTCTTATCCACGTTACTAATATGACTGCTCAGTTTATACAGAAAGCATTCACAGGGCATTTACCAGAGACATCCAAGAAACACAGTCACGAGGCAGCTTCGCACACGCAGCAAAACTGCCCCAGCTGGGAAAGCAAGCACATTTTGTGCCAATGCACTGGGGGAGCTCAGTGGTGGCAGCAGGTGGCTGCTGGAACCGTGTTATCACATCAGGTCTTTCTACTCATCAGGAGGTCACCATCTCTTTGGCAGGAGGTTAAAAAGGCTCCAAACAAATAGCCAAGTATATGGTTAGATAAAACAATTCTTCGCTCTGGGGCCTAATACATATCCCAACACTGCAGCACACAGTCCGACCTGTGACAGGACCTATTTGGTACCCTTGAAAAGGTTTATTTGCTGAAGCACTGCTATTACTTATCTATAATGGACTCTTCTGTAGCATTTACATTACTGGTACTGCTTCAGCATCTCTTCCTTGAACTTTTTCTCCGTGTGAAAGCCATTGCAACCTCTCAGATCATTACAAGCCTATGCTGTTCTGCACTCACGTTTTCTCTGCATAATTGAAAAAGGCAGTTGTGGATAGAAACACATTTGATGGGCACTGTTTCTGACAAAGAATCTGAAATAGCTTGATTAACTCTCACATGGCACCCTAGCAGGAGATGCATTCATGCATTCCTTGGGCCGTGGGCTGGGAAGGGTTAGATTCAGTGATGTCTTCAAAGGTAGGTACTTCGTTTTCACAAATGACTTTGGACTGCAGTAAGGGGCTCTCATCTGGCTCCTGGTCCCTATTCATTCAAAAGGGCTGGAGGAAGCCAAGGCCAGAAACCCCAAACCCCACTAAGAGCCGTACTGGTATCACCACCAGCCTCAGAGCTTTGACCTCTCCCATTCCCCATGGAATTCCCCCTTTCCTAAATGCAGGAAATGCAAGCACTTCTCTGTTTGGCACCGCTGATCATGAGGACTCTGCTGAATCAAGCTGTCATGAGAAGTGATCTGAGCACTCTATAGAAATCCTGCACGGTCCGGGCACTCCTGGCTTTTGAAGTGATGCATACACTTCACCAGATGCTACCAGTGCTTACACCAGTGTCTTAGAGAGATGGATGGCATTTATAAACTCAAATTATTTGCTAAAAATGTGTCTTCGTGTTTAAGCTTCTATCGCCATGACGGAAGACAGACTTGCCTAAAAAGACTGAGAATTCTCCTGCAGAGTGAGGTAGACTTACCCTACATACATGCCACTATCCCATGCTATATCACTGAAAAATGATTTTTAGTGAATGTGGTCTAGAAATTGAAATAAAAGTGGCATGATTAAGGAAAGAGAATTCAGAAATTCTAAAATACTCCTTTGAGGGAATGTTAGGTATTTCCTAACTTTAATCATGATAAAAAGAGATGGAGAGAAAAGAAAACATCAGTCACTTTCTTCATTTGCCTTTTCATGTATTTAAAGGCAAGCACAGGCTTCACCGGAAAATAGGCAGAAGCGTCTCTGCTTTGCAAACCTGAGCTGCTAGCTCGTGATTAGACCTACTCTCTTTTCAGACCCCTAAAAAGCCTGCTGGAGGCAGCTCCTTCAAGCAGTATGATGCTCCCCTGAGGATGTTTCTCCTTCCTTCCTAATGAGGAATGGTACGTCTAGGCCCAAGCCAACTAAAAACTGCAAGTGTCAGTACCTTTGCCTACCCAAATTCAGCTACTCACAGCCACTGCACATCCACACAGCAGCAGCCCCAGAAGCTGAATGACAGTGACGTTAATGTGGGAACAGCTGGACCTGAGCAGCCCCTGGCTACATTCTGACCTGGGGGCAGAACTTGCCTAGGATGCCCTGTGCTGAATTTTCTGAATATTGCATGTTGATACTTCACCATCCAACTACAGTTTGGGACATTTAGTCTCATGAAGCCCACGCTCTTAACTCTCCTGTGGTTTGACTGACCCAACTGTAAACTAAGCACAGAGCTACTGCACAGACCAGTGAGCTGGTAACAGGGCTGGGAGCTGGGAGACCCTGCCTCTATTCCCAACTCTGTCATTCATCTGGTCTTCAGTGAGTCACCTCCTTCTCCTCTGTTTCTCCATCTGTGAAGCACAAATACTAATACTGGACAAAAGTTTCAGAACAGCAGCTTACGAGCCTAAAAATCCCTTTTAAAGGTGTTTTAAGCATACAGTATTGCAGTTTTATACTGGATTGCAGTGCAACACTGACATGGTGTAAATACTTAATAAAACCTCCTGCCTCTAAGAAAGCTTATGGTCCCCACTTGGCTGCCACAGCTGATTTTTTTTTCCCAGTACCTGAACAAACATCAATATACCTACCACTTTTAGCATGGTGCAAAGACTTCCCTTGGAAGTCAGAAAAGGATATAGGAGCAAAAGCAACTGTAGTAGCATGTCTTGAACACTGCTCAGTAGCCAAGGGGCAGTAAGAGTGAAGGTGCATGACCTTAGCACTTCACAGCTGCAAAGTAAAGTAGATTAACTTAAAACAGGCCTATTTTATGCAAGTAGACTTTTTCCCTTAAGTCATGGACTTTTTCTTTCCTTGGAAGGCAAGTATTGCAAAATAATAATTGAAGGTGTACCATTTATTACCAACACCTCAAAGGTGTTGAGAGACTTAATTGATCTGTGGAGTATTCTTTGACACTGCTGAGGACGCTATAAGCATAAATTATTATCAACAGCAGCAGTCAAAGGATAATGTGGGAAACACAGTAAAATGGCTTTTGCAGCTAAAGCGTAAAACGCAGCACAGAAGAGTATTGATTCTGCACTGGAGAAAGACAGAGCATGGTCAATTTGTGGAAATCACCTGAGGGCAGACCTTCCTCTGGGGATCACCCTGGGGACGGGGGGAAGCAGAGAGCAGCACTGGGCTGTGGCAGAGCTGCCTTCCCTCCGCTCGCTGCTGCGGGGGCACAGCGGTGGCAGCTCTGATGAAGGGTACCAGGCATGCAGGATGCAAAACGAATGCCATTTGCTGTCAGTCTGGGTTCAGACAATTTACTTCTAGCAAAAGCAGCTGGAAATGCTGCCCGCGTCTCTTCTGTGCGCCCAGGGTGCCTTTCTCAACACCAGCAGAGCTGCACTTGGTCGTGTGCCAGATCTCCAGGAGTCTGTGCCTGGGCCAGCTGGATCCCCCTTCGTTTCCTTCCCTGTGCAGAGGAACTGAAGGGAGCTCTGGTGGCTTCACCACGACCAAGGGAAGGAGAAAACGAGGAGCGCGAGGCAGCGTGTGACACGATGGAGCTTCCTCTCTGCCCCCTGCCTTAGGGTCACTAGGCACGCAGCCAGCTCACACGTGAAACAGCTTTCAGGGCACACGGTGACAACTGACCTACTGATGCATATATGCATACATATGTGGCTGACAACAAGTTAGCCCTGAGTCAGCACTGTGCCCTTGTGGCCAAGAAGGCCAACGGGGTCCTGGCCTGCATCAGGAGGAGTGTGGCCAGCAGGTCAAAGGAGGGGATCCTGCCCCTCTACTCAGCTCTGCTGAGGCTGCACCTGGAGTGTTGGGTGCAGTTCTGGGCTCCCCAGGACAAGAGGGATGTGGAACTTCTAGAGAGGGTTTATCCATCTTATGAGGAAAGACTAAAGGAGCTGCGCCTGTTTAGACTGGAGAAGAAAAGACTGAGAGGGGATTTTATCAACATGTACAAATACCTGAGGGGAGAATGTAAAGAGGATGTGACAGACAAGTGGGGGAACCTGCAGGTACCTCTGCAAGCAGTTAGTTTTTCTTACAAATCATGTCCTCTGCAATGAAGTCACATCAGGCTGAGAACAGAACTCAGATTTGCTGTTCAAGAGCTACAGGAAAAAAATGACAAGCTTAATGATGGGCAGGCTTGTCAGCTGCTTTGGAGAGCTACAGCAATGGAAAAAAAAAAAAGGAAAAAAAAAGAGAATTTATAGCTAGGAATGCAGGAAAGTAGAGATAAAGAATAACTTCCTGATGCCCCACAGAAGTGCACTTCTCAGAACAGGCAGAATACCCCATAGAATCTGCACAAATTATTAAGAAACAGCTCCATTGTAGGCCCCTATAGACCAACACCTAAAAAGACAGCCATTGACACACTAGTTTTGTTAGTGCATGCCAGCAAGGTTCCTCCCCAAGGACATTTGAGATAAGACGCTCCCTAAGCTTGGTACACAGCTGGATTTCATCCTGGGCTGGGATCACAGACCCATCACCAGCACAGACCAGCATGAGCCCTAACGCACCTTCAAGATGGTCACAGAGTCTCAGCTGAAGCACAAACAAAACCACTTGCCCTTGGCCATGTCAGACCCCCATTTCTACGGGTGAGTGAAACCCACTTGCTTCCAGGAGCTGCACCCTATGTGAGTGCATATACACATTGCTATTGGTGCTGGGGAGTATTAAAGCAGTAAGTGGGAACATATGCAATGATGCAATGCACGACTGCTGCTAGAGGAAGATAAAACGAAAGCCGTGCTCTGTGTGGCTGAGTGAGGCTGGCTAATGAGTCTAATGCTAGCGCTGCTGATCATGAAATCAAACACAGAGCAGTCTGTCAAATCAGGGGAGGTGAGGGAACAGGGCCAGAGACAGAGAGACAGAGTTCAGGGCATCAGATGCCTCCCTGGTTCTTTCAAAAAACTATAGTATCTTCTGCATACAGGAAAAAAAAAAAAAAAAAAAGAGGTTGTTTCAGTGCATAGTCAAATTAATTAGAAAGCCTCTGACATTGTATTCTTGGTTACACAGTTTGCTGCCAGATGATAAGGATGTTTTGGGGCAGTGTGTTCTCAGGAATGCAAATGGAAAGTGACATGATGGACACGGTGTGTCAAAATAACAATCCTCATTTAAATCTTCACATTAGAGTCATCTTGCATCTCAAATGTCAAACATGCAAAATGGATTGCCTGTGGAGATTGATTTGGGAAATATCAGTTGTTCTGAAGTTCAGGATATTAGCAGGGAATAAAACATAAACCAACTTTAAACTGTATCAAAAATCTTTACCATATCTGACACCTAATTCTTATTTTTCTTTACCTTTTACCCTGATAAACAGTCCTGCAATTTTTTGAATGGGCCAAACAGGCACAAGGAGCCAAGCAGCTTCAGTGGGGACCGCTTTGCATGCCTTGCAAACCAAACTGAAATGGAAAGCACAATCGCTGCACAGAATGTGGAAAACTCATTACAAAATAAGTCTGTGCAAAACTAAGATTTTTGCAAAAGTCTGCTCATTCCTTCAACCTCCCCTTCCTTCTGAAAATACAATTTAATTTTTTCACACTTAGTAATTGCCCGTTGTATTTCAAGTCCCAATTCTAAAACAGACTTCCTGATCCTTTTCATCAATAACACTCGCATGTTCTCTCTTCCCATTACCATAATTACACACTGACATATCACTTAAAGGCCACAAAATTGCATTGTATTTCTACAGCCAGGCATTAAGAAGGAGCACAGCCAAATGCTTTAGCAAACCCACGCCAGTGCTCTTGCTCAGGATGCCCATCAGAAATCAGTGCATTGGGGCTGTAATGTGCATGGATCTCTCTTAGATCACTGCCTTCCAAGCACATGCACCCAGGGAGACGCGTACATGTTCACGGTTCAACATTGATGTCTCTGCATTTTAAGGCATGTAATTCATAATTTGCAGATACTTATGCAATCAGAACATCTCAGCGCAAGGGTCGGTGGCTCTACTCCTAGCTCTGCTTGTCTCACCTCCCTCTCTGGGAAGCATATGCAGTGTCCAAGTGGAGAGTTTCTTCATTCAGGTTCTGCTCAGAATAAAATTGTTGCTCTTGGGAGCCAGCCACTTACGTGCATCAGATTTTGCCATTACTCAGTGCCTGGTTTTTTGGACCTGATTCACGGTTGTAGCAGTCCAACTCTGTGCCAGTAGAAATCTAGCAAGAAGCTGAACAGAAACGTGAGGAAAACCCACTTTAGCGAGCCTGCACTGCTGAAAGGAAACTAACTCTTCTCTCAGTGTTACAGGGATGAGATTCCAATTCATTATTAAAAAGGTCTGTGGTTGCCTTTCCAGAAGTGCTCTGCAGATGCTCCCGTAATTTAGGGGTTGTGTTAGTTACCTCCACTGAAAATCCTGCCTGAGGAACTTGCTGAGGTTTATGAAACTGTTGACTCTGGAACAGAGGACATTCAAATACCAGAACAACTCCTGTTTAAAATTAATACTGTGATTCCACATACAAACTGGAAGTAATGAAGTGTGCAAAACCTCTAGGGAATAAAAATCTGAAACCCTGAATTCAGAAATGAAAGGTTTGCCTGATGAATTTTTCTTCATCAATAAACTATTTCTCAGCGCTAAGTGGGAAGAGACATAAAACACCTGCTGCACTTCAAAAACAATTTGAGGAGAGCAGGGTGTGATATCCAGGAAAACTGATTTCCTCAGTAATTACTTCCCTACTTACTGAGGTTTAAAGCTGAGCAAAGGGGCAGTGATGAAGGACAGTGCTGTTCCATCACAAATAAGGTTAATGTTACTGTATAGCTCTGTTCTGCAGTCACAGGGCACACAAATGAACCTAGGAGCAACTGGCAAAACTTACTCAAACACAACCGAAATATTATTTTCAGCCAGGCAGCCAGAGAGCCCCATTCAACCCAACACTTTGAAATGCGAGCAGTCCGTGTACATTCTTTCCCTTAAATAAGGCCACCTGGATACTTTCAGCTCAGTGTGGTTTTTGAAGCAATAGATTGGAAATGGACTACTTGGGACTTCACAGGACAAGCTTTGTGATGGAAGGAAAGGAAAACAGAGCATCACCTCTGCCAGAGCCTCTACTGGGATAACATAGAGGAGCTTTAGGATGTGAGTGATACACATCAAGATGAAGGTAACTCTAAAGCAGGGATTTTCCACCTAAGACAGGGCAAAGAAGTCACAAGTGCATGTTCAGGCCTCATATTTTTGTAGCATTTATTTCAACAGTAAATAAAAAAAAATACTAAATATATAAAATAAATAAAATACTAAAAAAATAAAATACTAAAAATAGTAACCTTCAATCCAGTATGGTACATCTCAGAGGAGCTGTGAGACAGCCATCCGCACCAGAGAGGAAGGGCTAGCAGACATGTATTTCAAACAAAGGGGAAAAAGCTTTTCTCGATGTTCCTGTTTTCCTACTGTGACAGTAACAATTCTCAAAACACCATCAGTATTTCTGAAAAAGTATTTCTTTTAAAAAATCCACTTCTGTCAGGTAGAATGTTACCTCACAGAGAGAAAAACAATAACATGCTCACTACATGATCTTATTTCTTTTTGAAATTCATCCAATGGAGAAAAAAAAATCAGCAATCATGCAAGGCTCTCCAAGAAAAAAGCAAGCCTTCAACAAGGCAAGGCTAATACATCTCCTACTTGTGCTGCTGGGAAACTGGTTTGGGCAGAGGTCCAAAGCGGCAAAGTAAAGGCAGCTCCTTTGAAATCACATACAAAATACCTACATGTCCTATACACAACATTTATCTGGCTCAATATTCATGCTAGAGTTTGCTGGAGAAAAAGAAATGATAAGAAGATCGATCCTGCTAGACTCTAAGGGCCACAATGTGAGTCTGAAACACAGTTTCACAGTGAGAGCACCTGCATTTCTGCACTCACAGTGCTTGGATAGCCCTGACGTGACACACGCATCCACGGCTCTGCAGAGCCTTCTGTTTTGCTCAGTTTCATTTTCCTATCCCTGCACAAAACCTACAGCCTTACCTAGCTTAAATCTCCTGCTGGTAGACAGCTGAGATGGAAATACTGTTAACAGCAAAGTGACAGCGCATGGGAGCTTTACCTGATGGGAGCTGACTCATCGCCTTTATCGAGCCAGTCCTGCGGTGGGATTATGTACATGCACCAGAGGCCCCAGTTGTAGCCGTGGGCTGCATTGGCATATTGCTGCACTTCAAAAGTGTTGTACTTGATGTTGTCGATTGCTGGTAAGATGATCCGCTTCCGATCTTCCTTGATCCGGGTAAGTGCAGGTTCCACCCTGAGAAAATAAAAATAGAAAAATGTTTTAGAGACATGCAGTAATCCCGGATACCTCCTTGCAATCCCTATAACAAGCAACAGCCCCGTGAGATGGCAGCCTGTAAAGCAGCTTAGAGTGATTGAAGGTGCAGCACCCTCAACACGCTAGGGGCTTGGCGAGGGATAACTCACCCTGCAACATCACATTAATTAATTATTGCCTCCATGGAGCCGTCATTCTAAGGTCACTAGTCCACATTGCACCCTACCAGTTCAAGAATCCCAAGTTTTGCCAAACAATTATTCTGATGTCTGGAGAATCAGACATTTCAACATGCTCTGGGCACATGTGGAGAGACGCTGTCACCATCTGAAAGTAAATGACCTCCTGGTGGCTACACCACAAGGACACCTGCTAGCAGTTAACATGGGGCTGCTCTTGCTGACAGCGCTGCAGAACCCAGTGCCCACAGGCGGCACTGAACGAGTCTGAAGGTTACTCAGAAGCTTTAATCTTGTTTGCTAAGAACTGACCCCATCGGATCTAGTTTGAATGACAAGAGTGGCCACGTTGAGCCTTCCCAGGCCTCTTCGGGGTGATGAGGAGGTTTCAATTGCCAGATGGTGCAAAGGCAGCAAGCAAGCTGCAGGAAATGTGCTGCCAGTTCAAAAGCCTTTAAAACACCAATGTGCTTCCAACAGAAGCTACATCCCAAAGGGTTTCAGGAAAGGATAATTCCTCAGTGCAAACATTCATTTGCCGCCAAGGTAGTCTGACGTTGCTATGAATTTACAGAGAAACTGATCCGTAGAGGTAGCAGGCTCACATAAGGGCAGAAAGCACTTCTCAGCTGTATCAGAAAGAGCCACCGGTTCGCTCTTTTGTAACTGTTTCTCCTTGAAATGAGCTTTGAAGATCTTTCAGAGCTCGCTCTCACATCTATCCTTTCTGAAGGAATGATGGTTTGCTGGGATTCACAGAGGTAGTCAGGGTTTGAACACTGATTTTTTTTTCTCATTATTCTTCTGTTGTTGGTTAAAAGGCAATTGTTCCTTTGTTGTTTCAATTCTGCCTCTTTATGTTTTATTTGTTACCATATATTTTCTTGTGTTGGCTAAAAGAAAGGGATAAGTTATGAAAGTAATTCGACCTCCATTTTCATCCTCCACTATCAGTCTGAAGTATCATAACATTTCTGATCTCTTCTGAAAGAAAACAGCATTTTCTCTGTACTTGAATACAGCTAAAATGTTCCTATCTTGGGTACACAGACTCCATTTTACTTAAATGAGGTCTGGTTCCTGCTTGCTTCTTCCCTACCTACCCCTCCCATCAGCAGAAATAGATTCAGATTCAGTCTGACTACTAGTTGAGGAATTACTGCAAACAAAACATGACAAAACAGTGTAAAAAAAAAAAAAAAAAAAGGATGTATCTGACAAAAAAGCAAGGTGTTGCATTATTTCTCTGGGAAGAAGTCACTGGTTTTATTTGGACTCATCCAGGGGAAAAAGAAAAAAAGACACTTGAACTTAATCAGCTGGATGCTAGTAATACCGAATGCAGAAGTTCAGAAAAAAAGAAAAAAGATGATGACAAGAAAGGTGGGAGGAGAGAAAGCACTATGCATGCTGCAGGGACCCCTTGCCTTCTCCCTGGAGGCCTGGCCAGGAAGGTTATAAACAAGCACTGTGCATAACGCGTGTGACACGTGTTGCTTTGTTGCTCTGCTTCACCTCTTCTGGGTATTAGTCAATGAAACCCTCATGACTGGAATGGCCTGAGGTTTTTCTTACTACTGCAGGCAAACCAGCAATTTTTGGTGCAGCCCTTCCATTGCGCAAGCCCAGCCCTGCAAGACACCAAAAGCCTCCACAGAAACACTGCAACACTGCCAGGTACAAGGACCTCTGTTACCTTACAGGTTGTTAAATATGTTTTTGCTTTTAAAATACTTCCTTCATTAGCAGGATTATGTACCTTTCTTTTTTCCTTTTTCCTTTTTTTTTTTTTTTGTTGCATGGCATTTAAAGAGCAGCATCCCACAAACAAAGTAGATTTTTTTTTCTGTTGGTTGGAGAAACAAGAAATGTGCAAGATTCAGTACATTATTCAGACTGCCGAATCATGAGATCTTTAGGCCACACTCATGCAGACCCAGAATGAGCCAATGTGACCTTCCAAATCAGGATAAGCAGCTTCTGTTATTTACACAAGATTATAGTTATGAGATTAACTGCTTTAAAGAACAGTGGGTGTCCAACAGAAAAATTCTTGCTACTCCAAGAAAGCAGGGAAGAATGGGAAAAAGATGAATCTACTTTGTTCTCCTCATATTATATCTGCACTCATCAGCTTGGAGACAGCAGAGGAAATTGCAGCAGAATAACTGAGACATCAGCCAGTCACTCCTCTTCCACCATGAATCATTTGCCTCCATCCACGGCTGTGGTTAATTGCTGTGTGTATCATGAGTAACAGGCTCTGGCACTCCCCTCTGGCTTCAGAAACTGAAGCTTTCAAAGTACCAAACAGGTCTAGATGTCACTAACAGCAGGCCCTGGAAGATGAACCTCCTCTTACTTGTGGTTGTGGTAAAAACACATCCTCTTGGAGCAGGTGACTCTTGAGAGGGAAGAACCTGCAGCAGGAGCACCAGGAAAGGACAACAGGGCAGAGAACCCTGCTGCTCTTTCATCCTGGTTGTTGTCTCCTACCTGTGTTTATTTAATAATCATGGAGGAACAAGAGTGAGGTGCAGCTAGCCAGTTCTGCAGTCATCTGGGGCAGTGTGCTGCCTACCCCTCATTTTTGGTACAGTCAGCTTGCAATAATTAACAATAACCATTTTCAGAGTCCTCATTCCAAGACTGTCTCCAAGTGCCCTTGCAAACCAAATGACCTCTCTCACATGTTCCTGCATCCCTTGAGTATTGCTAGGAGAGATCTGGTGCATCAGGGAAGTCACAGAGCAGAGGGACTGGACCCTCTAGCCACATCTTGTGCGTGCCACAGGACACAGAGCTGCACCCACTCACTCCCATAACCTGCAAGAACATACTGTAGTTGACCCTAATCTTTACAGGTCTGCTCTGCAAATACAGAAAAACTATTTCCTGCATTGTGCTTTTTGAAGCAAAAATCTGTAAATGTGCTCCCTTCATAACAACCAAATTATATCATTCCAATTCTTACTTGTCACAGAAAACAGGCATTTGAAAAGCAAGAAAAGTCAACAAATCTTAAGGCCCTCAATTCCATGGATGTTGATAGAAAACAGAGCCTTTTAAGCATGATAGACCATATGGTTAAAATTATTCTGAAGTTTCTAGGTTTACTTCTAGAATTCTTCCTTCTGTGCTTATTTTATCAAGTATCTTACTTTGAACAGTAGATTGAGATCATGTAAAGATAAAAGCTAAAAGAGTTGCAAAATTCTTCTCCCTTAATGTCAGATGTCTGCAATATAGACCTCTATATCCAAGGCAATTGTCTGAACTCCCTTCATGCTCAGCAGACAGAGACAGACACAGGCATTTTTATAGTAAGATTCTTCTCATAATAAGGTAGACACTGAGAATGGGTGAGACGAATAATATTCCAAAGGAGCCTATTTTGTAAGGGGAATTTAGACTGCTACTTTGCAAGACATCACACAGAATGCATGTATGCATTTAACACTGGGCCAACTCAGAACAGGCCAAACTCCAGAGGAAATCAGAGCAAACAAAAGCTGTATGTCATCCGACATCCTAATCAGATTGCCAGAGTATCTGTGCCAACGGGAAAGTCTGTTTTTTTCACAAAGCTGAAAAGATCAGCTTCTTCCCAAGCAGATGAAACTAGTTAGTAATGAGCTCATCAGCGCACATGATTATATAATTCTCCCTTTAAGTATGTAAAGCCACCTGCTGACTTCAAGCAGACTTTTTAAAAGGCCCAACACAGGAATTAGCACATGATCTAAGAGCACATGCATGCCGTAGGCTGGATACTGTATGACTTTCCTGTTTTAATGGTCTTCACAACACCCAAGAAGTTTTATCACCACGTGTCTACTGAAGGGCTTAGCCGACTACCTAGAGCTCCTCTCAGTTCTTAGGTAGATCCTTTATATTGTCCATGGGTGAAAACCTTTTCTCTTTCAAAACGACCCTTCTGTATATGTACAAAATCTAATGCCTTTCCAAGTGACAAGGATTGTCCTGGGAAAGTTTCTTCCTAAGTTCTGTCCCTGTCACAAATGATCATCCTAGTATTGTAGACTTTGGGCTGTTCTGAGATGCGTAACTGTCTTTTTCTTTCTTTCTTTCTATTATCATTATTCAAATTTTTATTCCAATCAAAAATGAATAACTAATATTAAAAATATCCTTCCCCTCCCCTTTTTTTTTCTTTCGCAAAACAGAGTTCACTTTTCTTCTGGCAATCTCTCTTCCATATAATGAAAGATAACATGATCTGACCTGTTAGATTTTATTGCTCAGTGGGTTTAACACTGTAATTTCTTCTGGTTGCACCACTGCTTGCTACCAGGAAGTAAAAACTTAACACAAATTCAGGAGAAAAAAACCTGTGTAAACTGAAAGTTTATTCTGCATGTGATTTTATATGCTGCTTTCACTGACAATATGCATTTATCAGATGTGGGTGAGCAAATCTACTGATATATATAATTCTTCACTGAAGCCAAGTGAAGAATATTTCATGCAGAATACCTTTCCTGTAAATAAGTGTTCAGAGCATTGAAAAAAAAACCATACTCCCTTCCTCTCTCTCTCTAAGAGGACAGAACAAATTCCCCATCTGCTGCACCTGACATCTCTATCAGCATTCCTCAAGGCCCTACGAGCTTGCAGACTTGCAGCCCCCAGCCAGAACGGGGTGAATGCTGCAGAAATGCCTGCTGGAAAGTTAAAGATCAGCATTTGGCTGCCAAATCTGAATAGCTCTTTTCTGCACCACTGAAAAGCAATGAGGATGCTTCAATGAACGATCTAGGCTGTTTAGGTAGATGA